AAGTGCGCAAGTAGAAACGGCATGAATGCGAATGTTAATCAATATGTTAACAACGCGATGAAAGCACTCGCACAGATGCGAGTTCTTTTCTGCCGCTACGTTAAAGCTTCTCAATTATATTCAATCTATTGAAATTCCTGCTATTTAAACCAGAAATTGAAACCGGTATAACACACGTGAGTTTCAGATTCCCATGCAGACACGCGGAGGCGCATCTGTTTTATCGCGCTGCTGGAAACGCGAGGATCACACAGTGGGATGCGTCTTCCGGCATTGCCCGCGACGTTGTAAGTTGACGTCGGCCGGAAGGTTTACATCGACGCTAATCATCGTCTTCAAACGTGAGATGAACGGGAAAGCGAGTACGCGCCGAGCGGACGTTGAATAACTGATGAGAGAGAAGCGTCGTCGGTGGGAATAAAAGTTGAAAAAGCGCGCGGCCTGTTGCGAGCTGCGAGAACGGGACGGAGCACCGGGGGACACATCGGGGACCAGACACAAGAGAAACCGAGGTAAAAGGAAACGAGGCGACAAGGAGAGCGCTTAACAGGGGGGTTGGTTAGTTGGTCGATCGGTCGGTCGGCCGGTCGGTCGGCCGGCCGGCCGGCCTGTTCCGATAACCGGGCTCTCTGCGCTCCCGTCGCTCTTCCTTCTATCTCGCTCGCTTCTTCCGTCTTTCGGTATTAGCGAGGGTAGGCCGCGAGGGTAGTCGGACGAGGGGTGGTCGAGTCGTACAGCCGGCACGCGCTCAACGAATTTTTCATCCAACGGATCCGCCAAGGTGCTCCGCTCCGGCGCAATCTCGGGAAGGGAAAACTGGAATCCTCGGATGGCGAACCACACTCCGAGGGTACAAGTATCCGGCCGTCGTCGAGCGAATGCGCGCGCATCGTGTCTACGCGTAATTAGGGTTTCGACGCGCCGATTGATTAGGATACTGCGCGGTAACGAAAGAAAAGGATTGACGCGTCGGAATTCGCTCTTGGAATTCGACAAGGAAAGGTTTGTTTTCGCGGCTACAACGTCGTAAATTCTTGATCGCGGTTTTTTTTCTTTCATTTTTGAACGCGGTAATATGTACAGCAGCGCATCTGTGGAATCCGCGTAAAAAGTTCGCAAGAGTCGATTTGTAATTCGGCCCGCGTGACCGTTAAAGGTTGCGAAAGTGCAACCTTCGCCTTCCGAAATATTGCGAGAGCTGCCTTACCGGCCCTACAGGATATGTTAATGGCTTGGGACCCTGGGGACCCCGAGAAACCAAAACCTCTTTCATTCTCCTCCCTCTTTCTTCGCCGATCTTCGCCCCCCTTTCCTGCCTTAGCTTTGCCTTAGCATAAAACTCTTCGGGACATTTAAATATTAAATCTCGATAGGAAAAGCATTGGTCGAAAAAGCACCGCTTGCATCGTTCAATTCTTTACGTTGACGGTTGCGACGTCTTTTTTATTATTTTTTGTTGTTTCCCACGTTAAGCGTTTTCTATAGAGCCCAATAAACGTTTATCGTATGTTGAAAATGCATTAGAATGCTAAAAGATCAATATTTTGTTCCGTTTACTTCTTGATGAAAAATCATTTATATGAAAAAAAAAAAAAATAAATTACATAAGATTATGTACACATACAACCGTATTTAATTTAATTATTAATATATTTAAAATTTTGTGAGACGCTGAATTTAAGTCGGCAATTAAAATTTAAAAATTCCGAATCGTGAGCCGAATGTGATAATGAAAACAACAGATTTTACATAAAACTTTTTCGAGACATTTTAGGAAATTTTTAATTTAAAAAATAACATGTAAATTGAATTTAAAAATAAAAAACATCTATAAATATAAATATAGTATATTATATATAAATATAGCAAAATATAAATAAAGAGTAGGATTCTCGAGTTTTACTGCGCATTGCAAAATGTTCAAGGTAGAAAATAAAAATGTTGTTTAAGGAAATAAAAATTATGCGCGTATCGTTCGTATCCTCGTCATAATTTTAATAAAACACATGTTGGATATAATTGCACGTAATTAAGCATCGCGTTTTCCCCAACACACAAATGCTTTATCATTATTCTTGTTACTACTCAATTAACTGACGACTCGTATTATTCGTGCGAATTAAAAAGCGAGCGGCGCATAAGTAATGCGCTCATCATCGGGCGATCACCTAATTTGCACGCGAGCGGCACGCTTCAGCGTATGGCGTCGACGGTATCTGTCTACGGTGTCTAGCTATCGGGCGTAACACGCGTCTCGGATAGCGCGCTCAATACTAGAGCGGGGGCACGTATAGGGGTGCCCGGTTCGCCCCATCGCTCCGTTGTACCCCTCGTACAACGGACTTTCAAGGCAACGGACGAGAACGGAACACGCCATGTGGTGCAACACTTCCACGCCGCTGCGCGATGGCATTTGCAACGGCAACGATAACGTCTCTCGAATCGAAGACGGCGAAAGATCGCCGCCGCGAAAACGTTTTGCATTTTGCGTCGCGAGCGCACGGATCCCGCCGTAGCGCATATAATGCGACTTTATTCGACTAAGGCTCATATTTATGGAATATACGTTATTATTCTTTTCCTCATTTGCATATGAAGGAGCTGTCTTCCAGGCCGGGATAATCCGGATGAAATAATCGATGCGAAATTTACATTTTAAATAGTCCGTCGAATAAAGCCGCATTATAACGCGGTATAATAATTGTTATCAGCAAGCGAACTAAAACGTTCCCGCATTTGTCACTTTTTCGGTCAAATAGTATTTTGTCGTTCAATCTTGTTGCTGCCTCCTTGTTTCTGTGTAAAATTTCAAGTAAATTTATATCGTATTCGCAATGCCCACTTTTTATTTTATCAAAACATCGAACGCGATCATCGTATTAATATTAAGCAAATGAGTCACGATATCGGTCAGTCACCTTTAGTTAAACGTGTCTTTAGTTGAACAAAGACGGAAAGACTCTAGTCTTTCGCGCGAGACAGCTGTATTCTTAACGGTCTCTCGATGTGTTGACGTCTAACGAGGGTAGGTCAGTATCAGTGCATGTAGGGTGTATTTAAGGACCTATTCAAGCTTGATCAAATATGTGTGCGTTTATATATATTGCAAATAATTAAGAATATTTCCTTATTAATAGTTATCGATTTAGATTAAATTGCTACGCTGATAAATCGAAGAAAAAGTGAATAAAATTAATTAGAATGTAAAAATTTCAAATAAAGATATTATTACTGCATTTTATCACATTATATTAAATTAATTAGACATAAAAAATCAATTGCTCTCAATTTTGAAGCAAAATACAATATAATCGATAAAATTATTAATCAAATTAATAATTGCAAATTGATATTTCTTGAAATAAAAGACTTGAGATTAAGTGATAAATAAATTTTGTTGCAATTTTATAAAAATTTAAATACTAAAGAAATAAAATAAAATAAATATCCTTTGAAATATATTTCTAAAGAGTGGCTTTAAAAATATTACACAATGAATGACAATTATGTTTAATAATTTTTTTTACGCACCGATACTCATCGAAAGGGATTGTGATTGTCGATATCCTGATAGCGTTTAAGTACCGTAAGTATCTCCGAAAAGCACCGTTCCCGGTTCCGCGCGCCCCTACCCATGTCCTTAGCCCTGCGTATACCCTGACAGAGGCAGGACCAGCCGTTCGTTCACGATGCGAACCTCCACGGGACTTTACCGAAAGCATGAATAAAAGGGGGCGCCAAGCCTAACCAGCCACCCAACAAGAAGCAGGTGAGCACCTGGTCCGCGTAACCCCGGCACGAGCTACTTGCCTCACAGTTGCGAGAAGGTGCTCAATGATCGCGTACGTTAATTAACTTGTTGCAATTATTCGAAAATTGAGAACTACTGAAAAATTTGATATCTGCGAATAAAATGTAAAACGCAATGTCTTGCAATTAATAAAGAATTCTCGAATTTAATTAATAAAACGCTTAAGTACGTCGTATAATAATGATATAATAGCTAAATGATAAAATTATAATATATCAATAAAATTAATAGTTGCAAATTTATATTTTCCAAAGATTCTTCAGATTGATTAATAAATATATTTTGTTGCATTTTTATACACAAGAATGCTAAATAAAACGTCTTGTAATACGAATATCACAAATGCGATTAATAAATTTGATACTGAAAAGTGCACTGGAAAGAAACACAAAGTACAAGAATGAGAAACACTGAGACTGCGAACCGGGTTCGCGGGGTTCAGACCGACGGCAGACAACTTCACAAATCGTTGAAGGACGGGGAAACCCTAGCGAATAACCCGCCTAATTCCTTTCCGAATGCGACATAAGGCTCTCACGTTCCAGTCTATCAATATACGTTTTGCCTATAATTAACTTGACATCTTCCACCCCGCCCATCACGACAAAAAGTCTGCCAGAATTACAAATTAATAATATTGCTAGTATTATTTTGGCGCTAATTAGCCACTGTATTTTAGATCTAGTTATTCGCTTTCTCGAATGATATTGTTCAAGAATATTGTTCATTCACTTGTAATTATTAATTATAATTTGTCTTATTATTTTAATTTCATCACGCATATCATGTGCCATTCAATTGGCTTATTCTAACAATCATACAATACATGCAATCTCTCAAGACAATTTGCTCAATAATATTAATTGATCAAAATAACAACCATAAATGTATGTTAAGTTGATGCAAAAGATATGTCATCGTTTTTCTATGCAATTCAATTATAAATAATATTACGAATTTTTGTTTAAAAATTAAACTATCTTTTTAGATGGAAAAGGTACATTAAAACCAATGACAATAATTATTGTTATAAATGTATTAATATCAATTCATATAATTGATTACAAATTTAGCAATTATTACTTTGATGAAAATTATTTCGAAACCGCGTATTTTGTTTTCCAATCTTACTTGAAAAATACAACAAGTCTTTCGCATCAACCTAGCATCTTTCGCAATTGTGACTCACCTTTTGAACATTGAAAGGAACGCTTCTTCGGACCGCCGGAATCCAGTGTTGATCTGGAGAGATCGCTGATGATGCTGGACATCGGCGACGCTTCCATACCAGCGTCGCTGAATCCTCCGGGCGAAGACATTCCTTCCATCTCGACGATATTTTCCATTGATATTACTTTGCGTAGATGTGACAGCGTGAGTCGGTTCTTCCAACTTGATCGGAGCAAATGAAACGCGATGTCTCGAATCGATGTTAGGCAGGAACGCGACGTTGACTTCTCACGAGAAGATCTCACGCGCCTGTGTTAACGATCTCTCGTGATATCCGAAAGAAGGAGACGCCACTAAATAATTAGTATCTTGATTATCTGACAGGGGAACTCTCTTAACGCGATACTCGTCAATGACAACCGATCTCCGAATAAAATTGCGGTTAATTACGTAGATATTAATGATACACGAAATATACATGACTTTTAACAGTTGCAAAAATTTATATGGTTATTGCACTTTATTTTTATAGACAAAATAAATCAAACACGGTTGTTATAAAAATAGTTTTCTGAAAGATTGCCGATAAACATGATAGAAATGCGCTGTAATCAGTATTCATTGTTATATTTTAATTTTAACTTTCTATTATCATTTATCACTATTTTTATATTAATCAACATTAAAATACCGAAAAGTTTCAATGATTATTCACTTCGAGAATATTTTTAATTATATATAAATATATCACTAGCAAAACATTGCAAACTCTACATTAACTGTGTCATAAATAAAGCCGCAAATTAAATAAAATTATATTAAAATTTATTTAAAGTTATTACTACAATTAATTAATTATTCATTTTCTGTTTGTCTTTGCCCGAAGATTTTTTTTCGTGAAAGAATGAGAGATGTACGATAAATTTTGCTCGATTGATTGCATTGTTTTCGAGAGGAATAATTTTGAAAAACAGACAGAGAAAGTAATGTGCGCGTTTACTTGACTGTCTACCAAAAACTCCGTACGCGTTTATTGACCAGCACATGTCGCGTGACCTCAAAGTTTCTTTGTAGCATACTTGTTATGATGTATGTTGTTATGTATTTGTCACGTGCTAACATCGTTATTTGCTGGCTTGAGATGGCAAAATATAGCGATCGCGAATATAGCTATGTGCTAAATAATATATTTGCTAGAAACATCTTATGTATTTATTCTAATTTGTTTTAATCTCTAGTACAACATCAAACGCGTGGTGATAACTGCAACTTAATTAGAACTTAATTAAGTTCTAAATTGTCACGCAAGTGTCGATGTATAAAATAGACGCATACACTAGACTTGCATTAAAATTTGATTTTTCAATAATTATGTCATTAATTTAATTACCATTAATTTAATTAATTACTGTTATTTATTGTTGTTAAATATTACTGCAACTGCAGCAAGATACTTTATAGATAAAGATTACGCGCGCATTTCCTCGTCAAAACCGTTAAAACCGATCTAACGTTGCCCGGAAACTCTTGGTGGAACTTCCTTTTTAGATCTCACAAACATACATAATATGTACTAATACTTGCGACTTCAAATTTAATTATACATTCTGCGATATAAACTTGGAATAAATGTCTTTTTGGAAAGTTTTAACATCTCAAGATTTTTCCGATTAGAAGTGATTAAAAAATAAAGTTAAAAATGAGATTCTTAATAATTTCTTAATCATGAGACACAATTGTAAAAAGTACCAAAAATATTTCGTGTTTCCAAAAAATTGTCTTCGTGAACTGACGAATATAAAATACATAAGTGCTCATCGGAAATCTAATCAAAAAATTTTCAACAATACGTTGGCAGCAATGCATTGCAAATTTCAATATACTCAAGAATTGAGCAAAATAATATAAATTTTTGTCACATGTAATATCCGTAATAAAATTGTTACGATTGACTTTAATGTTGTAAACATGAATGAATCGCTATTGCAATTTGTTATAAATAATGCCACTATTATGCTTCTAACAAATTCCTTCCGAGCTATTAACCCTTTAGAATAACCCATAGCCAAGGTCAAGCATGCAATCTCTTGATACGCCTTAGAAAAAAATATCATACAGAAAGGAATTGAAAACATACGTTGCTTATCGCTGCAGAAGAATTAAAGACCGGTCGAGGCTGATCGGTATGGAGAATAACCTTACGACAAGAGTGATGGAGCGGCAATTATCTAGCGTTTCCTTCATCCGGATATCGCGTCAATCACTTCCCGCGCAAAGCCGGTAAACACGTGTGATAAAAGGCTCGAGCTTCGACAATAGTGGAACGAAATTCGGTAATTGAAGCACACCGCGGTTGCTATTCACGACGATTAGGAGCAGACAGAGCGTATTCACAGTCAGAGATATGAGATCTGACCGTTGTCTAGCTCGTCAGTTACACCGCGCGATAAACCGCACTGTCGCCAACAGTGGCGCAAATCAAGGCGCGTTCGCGCGCGCGCCGATGGATCACTGAAGACAGGCGCGAAAGCGATAAGTGGTGGGAGGACAAGAGGGGGAAAGAAGGAGAAATATGTTCGTTATAATTCCTCTTTCTATACCGGCTTGCTCCTTTCCTATTTCAAAATTTAAATGTTAGTAATATAACTATATATTATCCAGTTTTATTCAGTTAGGAGAGTTAAGAAACCTAGACATATAAAAAAGAATTAAAACATATTTTAAAAAATATAAAACACATTTTGATAATATTTTAATATAAAATTAAATATGCTTTCTTTAGTCGACTAATTAAAGATTTGTACAAAATCTAATAATTTTCTTTTACTTTTGCAAATAAAGCAAAAAAAAATATATATATAGATTAAAATTAATTAAAGACAATCTAATTCTATTATCCAGCAATGCTGGATTTCAAACTTACCCAAATGTACTTTTTCACTCACTGGAATAATCCAGAAATGATGTTTTTGTTTATAAAAAAATCTATACTCTCTTATATGTTGATGTTATTATTATTGATAAAAATAACAAAGTCAAAAAACATCTTTTATGGGAAAATATCTCAAAATAAATTTTTAAATTAATTTGTATCCTACAAAAAACAACATAACAATAATTATTAAGATCACGTTAAAATTATATGATTTTAACGGTGACTGGAATAATTTAAAATCTAGCCAAAAAGTGCTTATACCACATTTAAAATCCTAAAATCGTTTTTGCGCTGATACTTCTTATATATATTGCAAAAAAATAAAATAAAAGTGAAAATTATATATATTCATATTCATTCTATATATTATATTATAATTATATTCTTATTATGTTAGTGGAAAATATAAAAGGATGATATAAGGGGAAGGTATCTTCAATCTTTAGTTTCCTTTAGCAACAAAAGAACTAAAGATAGTGCAATGTCGAAATCAGGATGTAATGAGGTTTCTTTATAAAATTTAGAAAATTTATTAGTTTGTCTACTTTAGATAATCAAATATAATACAATATATTAGCATGTCACAATGGGCGCCCCACCATTACGATATGTAATGAGTTTGCTTTACATTACTCTTTACAATGAGTATCTTCATTATTATAAAGCAATGCACGCACTTTTTCGCTGAACGTATACTATACAATAATTTTATCAAAATTATTGTATAAGGCATAGTTTTTTTCTTAAAAATGTATTTAAATTAATAAAGTTATTCGAAATACTGAAAATAGATCGCTTTTTTCTTCTAGTCTACAATGCTCCATTGGAGCTTTCCTTTTTTTATAAACAATTGTTCCTAATCACCTAATAAGCGCATAAATTGTTGTCACCTAAACTTTTCTAATTTTACTGGTCAAGACAATTTGACAATAAAAATTCTAAATATATAAAAAATATATATACACATGTATATATATATATATTTATTTATTTATTATTATTTAGTTTAATTCTAGAATGCCATCGTCATTCAGTAGCGTTATTGTTCAGTTGCATTATTGTCGATATGTAAATGTTACATATAAAAGAAAATAAAATCGTTGCTTTTCAATCAATTGACAAAATAAAAATTATAAAACAAATTAAAAACATGCACGACAAATTACAAGAAATAAAATACAAGAAATAAAAAATTAAAATTGGATTAAACATAATTTAAATGCAAAACACACAATGCATTTGGAAATAAAAAAAAAGAACAAAGATATTTTTAAAAAGTTGACATATACTATTAAAAAAATAGTACATATATAATTAATTTACAATAGCATTCTAGAGTTAAGGCACAGACAGGACAGAACGTTTTTCGGGATAAGATCTGCGGGATAAATTGCGGAATGTGTATATATGATAAAAAGAAACACATAATAAGGAATGCAGGTAGCAATATTTCTACATTCTCCGTCCAAGTAAACGTAAACGAAGTCATCTCTTGCAATAATTCAGTAATATAGTATAGAGCTTTACTCAGGTATCATATCGTCGTCGTTCAAACGGCTGATTGTATCATCACATGAAATATATTACAAAAGAAACGTTATGTTAATTAAAAATATTTTTCTCTTCGGGGAATTCAATTTCTCTTATTCGATCACATGATTAGGCCTTTGCAAAGTTTTGGGAGACATAAGGTATCCGCCTTTCACTACATTCACGACGAGATTTTTAGGTTTCGGCGGCAAGGGCGGAGGTTTCGATAATTTCGCGCGTGACACGTCCGTGCCGTAGCTTCCCGAGTGCGGACTGTTCGGTTGGGAATTACTACCGTTCTCTATGATAGTCTGATCCCCGTCCACTAACGTTCTATCGCCGTCTAGAGTGTATGAATTGTCAAGGCACTTACTTAAAGGCTCCGTAATACTAACCAAGGCTGAGAATCGTTCGTTTACAGCTCCGTTTGTTACGTGAGCGGGATATTCGTATCCGCTGCAGCTTTGCTTATCTTCGCTAGAATCGTAAAACTTCGCAGTACCCTCGCAATTGGCCGACATCACTCGAGTTCTTCGCATCTTGTTAGAACCCGACGGTTTGCCATTCTCCTTGTTCTGATCAGTAATTTCATAGCTTTAAGAGTCGAAACGCATACATGATAGAGATATTATGAGACTTTATGGTTAGGCACGCACACACAAATTCTCTACCGCTACTAAATTCCAGGGTGAGTTAGAATAAACTGAATATTATATGTATATATACTTGCATGTGTAATTTTACCTTCAAAAAATCTGGTAACTCGAAGTTAATTTCCGTCCCCCTCTGGTCCTCCAGTCTCGATCTTTGCGCTCTTTTCAACCCCTCATATAAATCTGCAAATTATATTATTTATATTATTATTACATTTTAAATGTCTAATTCATATAATTTAACACTAAATATCCCTACAATCATAGTTGCTACGGAAAGCCTTTAAAATTTTATCCAAAGAATATCCTATATAAACAGAATTATATATAGATTGCTCTTACCGTCTCCATCGAATCTGCCCGGAAGTTGCAATTTCACGCCGTTACGCCACTTTGCGATAAGTGGAGGCTGAGATTTAACAGGTGCCCCTTCGTGTATACAGTCGTTCGTATTACCTTTCTCACTGATATTGCAACATTTAGATTTTGCCTTCAATCATGAAAATCACAAATGTATATATAAACAACTTCTAAAATTTTTTACTTTAAACAACATGCAGTTTGAATTACCTTCTTCTTTCCATGAATTGTCGAATCTCGCAGAAAGAATTTGCTAGACAGTATAGAAGATCCTTCCGAACGTTGATCGTCAGACTGCGTGTAATTCAATACAAAAATAATATTGAAAATACGACAGAAAATTATTGTACATTTAAAAAATTTTAAATATTATTTTTCTTACCTTACATGATCCTTCGCTATACTGATATTTACTTCTACTTTTCCCAACTAAGAGTTCCTCAAATACTTTATTAGTAATTTCATCCAAAGTCGGCTGTGCATGCGGTACTTCGTCCAAATATTTGGCAGTATGCAATTCTCGTTGAAAATCTATATAAAAATAACATTTGGTTAGTAAGTTCATAAATTTATCATTTCGTTAAAAAATTGTACATAATTCGTTAAATGCTGAACATATTATTTTAATTATATATGAGTTTCAAAAAATTGTTTACTGTGCATTACGGACTCATAACGTGTCCGTAAAGAATTTCAACTTATAATTATATAGTAAAGACACTAACCTTCTTCATTCGCCACTACAATAAGTCGTGCCGGAGCATTAATAGCCATAATGTCCATAGGAATACAATGGCCTTCGCTCCAAATACTAATTAAATCTAAATTGAAGCCATATTTATTTAGAAGAGGTCTCAGAACTTCTTTCACAGTTTTGCCCTTGTGCGCAATAACACTTATTATCCTTCGCGAAGGTAATTCCACCTTTAAGACCTTTGTAAGAACGACCTCCACCTCCTGACCCGCTAATACTGACGAAGAATATTTCGTGTCTACCATCTGTAAAGAAAAAAATTATAATGCACCATATAATTCCACGAGTTGCATTAATGCAAATGTGCATTGTGCTTAAGAATTCTGGTTTTATAAACTAAATATATATTCAATTACAAATTCCTTCTTAATACAATTGTTTTTATACAATTTAAGAATGTAGGTATTATCAGAAATAATTATAAACAATGTTTAATGTATGTAATTAATAAATATATATAATTAGAAGCATACAGCATTTCTTTAAAATGCTCATGCAGATGCAACATAAAAAAAACCAATAATTTTTATCTCTTCCTTCACCATGTTATGCAATGTGAATAAAATAACACGTAAAAATACATGCGTTCAATGTTTACTTTATGCAAGCTAGTGTGAAAAATTATAATTATAAATTGTATTCTGCTTCCTGAGACATGTGCAATTAGTTAAGGTCAGCACAAACCTCATCTGTTGCTAGTATCAGAACGTCATAATTAGAATATCGTAGAGCTCGTTTATCGAGAAGGCGGGTAACCACATCTTTAATGCTCTCGGTTTGGCTAGTTGTCACTACTGTAGTAGATCCATCAGGCAATATTACCCGACACAATCCCGTGCATTTACTGCGAGCATCTTTCTTTTCGTTTGTTTGTCCATCGCAAGATGACATAGACTACAAGTGAACACACATTCGCTATTGTATTGGTAATACAATACTTTTACGACATACCTCAATCTTTCAAATTTATAAGTTTATTAAATTTAAAATTCATAAGTTTATTAAAAAAACAAAAATCGAAATGTTAAGAGAAGCAAATGTATAGCACAACCCTACAGCAATTAATCTGTAAATCTAACTTTTTTATGGATTAATACAACGTATATATTACTCTTTCATCTAATTGCTGTAATTAATAATATTAATAACTACTTTTCGAAATATGCAAGTTTCACAAAAAAATAAGCATTCACTACAAAATAGATTTACACACAACACACACGTTTATAATTCTGAAGATAACTAAAGAATTTTACTAAAAGAATTATGCAAATTTCATTAAAACTGAGACATACAATCAGCATACATGATTTTTACATTCAATAATTATTTCATCAATAGATGCGATAACTTCATATCTATATCACGTTTGTCCAATAAATACTTACATGCTTATTAAATGACTGCCGTAACGCCAAATCCCATGATGCTAATGATGACCGACTACTGGATATCGACACGGTATCTTCATTATTGTTGCCTTCTGTTTCTCTCTTAATAGTTGTAAAGCTTTTGTATATAGTTTCACCCCGGCTGGGAACTTTATTGTATTCGGATTCACCACGATCTTTCGATTTAGATCTAAAAATATACGATAAAATAAATATATGTATCATGTATGAATAGATTAAACAGTTTTTTTAAGGAAATATTTGTAAGTAAATTACCTATTTTTTCTATTCCAGGGAAGAATCGATTTTCGACAACGATCTTCCGCGTCAGAATGACTTTTTTTTAATTTTACACTAGGTGAACTTGTAAGATGTAGATCACAGTCTTCTGTATCAACTATGGCGTTTCCTGCTTCCAAACAGGCACGATAAAGTTCTGATCGTAAAAATCTTGGGTAACTGTCAAACTTCATTAAGTTGAATACTTGTTTTTGAGCCTGCAAAAATAATACATTGATTAATGTACAACAATATAAATGTAAATTTTCGAAGTATTGCATTAAGTAGTGTGCATTAAGTATTGCATTAAGTATTGTATTAAAGAAAATGTGAATTCGAAAATGTTAGGCTTACCAAATGTTATAAGATTCTAAAGCATAAAATGTTTTAACATTAATGTACATTTTATTCATTTTTAGCCATTAGAATCTTATATCCTAATATTTGATAAGTTAGAAATTCAGAATGTACATTTTCTTTACTGTAATGCATTAAAATCTTACATTTTAAACAAAGAAATGATCTAGAATGTTAAAATATACATTTTATTTGCTTCTATGCCTCAGAATCTTATGTAATATCGATGGGATATAAAATTCTAAGGCATAAAAATAAATAAAATGAATAAAATCTTATATCATAACATTTGGTAGATTAGAATTTCAAAATGTATATTTTCTTTACTGCAATGCATTAAAATTTTACATTTTAAACAAAGAAATGGTCTAGAATGTTAAAATATACATTTTATTTGTTTCTATGCCTCAGAATCTTATGTAATATTGATATGATATAGGATTCTAAGGCATAAAAATGAATAAAATATACATTCTAAAGTTCTGATCTACTAAAAGATTCTAAAGCATAAAAATAAATAAAATATACATCTGAACCAAAAGATTACATTTTAATTCTAATATGATCGTTAACTATACCGTATATGTGATTCAAATTAATATGTATGTGTAACCTTTAAGTAGAAAACTTTTTTAGCAAAAATATTAATGACCACATTTTATGTTTGCAATCCTCTTAAACTTTTTTCACAAAAAAGTCGAGAAGATAAACTTTTCAATAAAAATCCACAATACATACCTGCAAAAATAGATCCGCGGGTGCTTCATCGAGTAATTCTTGGGTGATTTGTCCTGCCGCATGGCTATCAACGTTTACTGGCTCGGCGGCTGTGTTAGATAAATGACGCTGATATATCTGACAAGCTAATCGACGGCGCATAACAGCATCTTTAGTATCTTTATATCTCTCACAAGCAGCCCAAAAGTATATATTCTCATGACTAAACTCCTTCTTGAGAAACTCCTTAAATAAAAGTTGCATTCAGTGATTGTTTAATATGCATATATTTAATAGACGCAAAAAAGAATTGCATCCTACTTACAGCAAATGTTTGCAAGCCCTTTGGATCCTCCAGCAACTTTTCAAATCCATTTGCCCATGTGTGTACTCCTTTGCAGTCATTGTTTTTGTCACAGGACTCTGTACTGCCATACTGCAAGAAAGAGACATTCAATTAGCAGGATAAAATATAAAAATAAATATAGCTTTTATGTAGAAAAATATGTTATTAAAAACCAATCAAAGTTCTATAAAAATATTTTAATGAATTTCCAATTTATCTGTGGAAAAATATTTCATTTATGGCTTAATTAGCAAGATATTATAAAATATACCTATTAAAATTGATTTTTTTAAATGTTTCTTTTAAATTTAAAACAATCAAATCTTTTAAAAAAGTCTCTTTACTTTTTGATTCGTCTAAAAATTGCTGTAAGTTAAATAATGTATTAAAAATTTCACACATGTTACTACAATTTTATCAATCATGTTAGATTTACAAGAATAATTTCGCTACTTCAATGCATTTCGAGTTGAAAACTATGGAGTTCAGCACCTGCCGTACATACAACAGGTGTAACGCTATGAGAAAACGCTTTCTTGCGTCGTTCATCTCGCATGCCCCGTTTTTCCACCTCCTTTTTCCATATCTTCCCATATCTAGAGCTAACGCGCAATTTCGGCTTCCCACGTACGACTTTTTTGCAATTGATATGCATTATATAACTAGGATAGCAATTTAAATGACATCGATGGCATATATAAACAAAATAACAATTGCAATAGTATTTTTCAGTCAACGAGAAAGAAACGAAAAATGTTGGTGCGTCTGACAATTCGTGGAATGCCGCTTAAACGAAGACAAACATGAGTCGTTGGGTGAGTTCACGAGCCGAAAGCTCGTGATTACCGATAATTAAGGAAACGCCTCGCGTCAACGCATTCACTGTCAGCACTGAGAAAAAAACTAATGAATGGAGGCAAGCCAGAAATTTAATTAGAATTGCATGTTTGTCGCACTTCGCGATCGAAAGTTTCGTCCTGTTGTTTCTATGGTTTATAAAATCATACATTCATTAAGATGCACGCGCACGACGTTGATTTATATTCACATCGACCTTTGCTGTGCTCACTTTATTATTTAATTGACTGATATAGGGTGATTTAATGCGATAGAAGAAGGACATCGTAACATGAATATTTATTCTTCTTATTAACTGTTAAAGTAAACTTTTCAATGCATTTCAAAGGTAATGTATAATACAGAAGAAATTAAAATTTGTAAATTTTACAAACAAAGAAAATTTCCTTCTTTCCGCCTCAATTTATGATATTCAATTGAATTTTGACAATTATTTCATATCGAATAATATTGATAACTAGAAACTCGACTCGATGACGACACTTTCCCCGAGCACGAATCCGTTCCAAATTCGCCGAACAATGCGTCATTGAAGCGCCGACACGGCGACAGCGAGATTCGGCGTGCAATAATACTCGCGACGCGAATAAATCCGTGTCCTCTTCGTTCTACGTACCGATTTCATCAGTGCTTCCATGTCACACTCGCGTACCGCGCGTTTCTCACGGCAACGGTAGCGGGAACGCCGGCGGTATCATTTATCAGTCTCTCTCAGGCCGTCCGGTGCACACAATCGCCTCGGAACGGGCGTGAACGAAACGCGAACGAATGGCCGATGGCGATGACAGAGCGAGAACCGAACGGACAATTCGCCTGTGCAATAAAACGAGGGCTCCGCCCAGCGTTAGCGGCCGGGCATCGCCGTGCGACGGTGCAACTCGCCAACAACCACCGCTGCCTGACAAACGACGTAACGTGACGTGCGCCGCGATATATCACAAGCCGACGACGTCGACGAGCGCACCGAGCGACGTAATCACGGACAACATCGTTGGCGCTGTCGCACACACGGTGCGCGCCTCACGGTTACTACCGCATTTCGCTCTCCGGCGTGTTACGATGCCGAGGCTAGGCCATTTTACGCTCGAACAAGGCCCACTTCCCTCCCCCCCCCCCTTCCGCCTTGACGTCCCTCTCTTCCTTTGCAGCCGACTGATTCATTCTCATCGTCGACCCTGCTTCACCCCGCGCCTTTTCCGCTCCCAACGCTACCACTACTATACCGTGGGGCCCGCGTCACGACCTTCCCTCTCTGTCTCCTCCGACGAGCTCTTCCACTCAACCTCGTTTTAACATCTATGCAGGGCCGCATGTGGAAAGTACGCTGCGCAAGCAAACAATGGATCAGAAATGTTTGCAAATATGAAAGTAAAGTGCTGCAGAATGCTTCAAATGATCGCAGAATTATGAAAGAATGATTAAGGACGTGTTGATTATATTAACTGAAAGTCGGTGAAATTTAAAAACAATGTCTCATTTTAGACAGCAACATTAAGTAAATAGATATAGATTACTGAAAAAGTTACAATATTGCAAGCTAATGTGAGTTCTAATGTTTCTAGTAAATCCGAATAATAAAATTTTGTTTTGTCAATGCATTTGAAAAGTTTGAACTGACTGGCAATGTTTTTTCTTTGTCAAATATATCGATAAGTGCTGCAGCACACGACTTTTCATAAGATCTAATTTACACATAAAAATTTTTGTGCAAATATTTAAAACAAACAATAAAATTATCCGTCCTCAATATTTTCACATGTGATTTATACATCCTTAAAAATTAAAGACTAACGAAAAAATTGTCTTCGTGATATATTAATGTAGCCTTGCTTGTATTTGCATAACTAAAATATGTTTGTTAAAATAATGCTTGAAATCTTCACTAAATGTACGACAACGTATTGATATTTTGATGATAAAATTGATACAGTCAGTTTTATGTATTATAAAACTCAAGAATAAATAATAATTCAGTAATAATGATAAATTATTTAGAATCTTCAGAGTTAAATAACGCACGGATACCTCCGCAACCGATCCTGCATCTATCGCACCGAGATCTCTTCGTGCACCTAAATGTACTTGCGGTGCATCTCAGTTCATGGGAACGTTCTTTTTAAAGTTACTTTAGGCTCAGCTAGATGCAACGTAGTTATTATAAGTTACTTTCAACTCTATGCGCCAGCGTGATTTCAGCGAAAGTTTTACAATTCACCCTCTTCGATCTAAACACGCTAAATTATGTTACTATGCAAATTTAAAAATCACAATCTTTTGTTATCAAAAAAATATCTTAAATATTTTGGCCAACTTTTCCATATTATTTTACGTGTAGTTTCGTTTCAATTTTAAGCTGCAAAAATATTTAATGTTTAAAAAAAATAACGTAACTAATTTGCAGTTAATGCCAATTGATTTTTGCTAAAATACCTTTATTTTGTATTCGTCGGAAAAGACGAGAGGAAATTTCCGATCAAATCAACCGATCAACAAGACATTCTGCTCATTACTGAATTTGCGTTACGTGAACTCGATTTGATTACGAAATCTTGCACGAGTTGTTGTAATTTGTTTCCTAAAAGAGCGGCGAATACACTATATACCAAATAAAGTAAGTGTAGATCATGTAAGTGCGAGATCAAGCGGCATAAAACGTGGGAATGCGCTTTCAAATCCGTCGATCTGGTTTCTGGTTATTTCGGTTTCATTTAACCCTTTGCCCGCGTGCATAAGCGCAAATCAGAAGCAGGAAACGATGACGCAGCTTGAACAACGAGTACACGAGAGGAACCGGAAATCATCCGCAACGACAAATGGGATGTCCTACGGGACATTAGCATTACCAATGCACGGCTTTGGAAGTAAAGAACTTGTTAAACCCGAAAGAAAAATAATATGATTCCTACAATGATCTTGTGTGTTTTGCTAATCGATGATCGAAATCGAAAAATATGATTGATTCATGATTAAATTAATAATTTAGATAATGCGTAATAATAAACAGAAAAATATCATTTCCAAAAAAACACTATTTCGTAACCAAATACTAAAATTATTAAAGACATTATAAGATTCAAAATAAAAATAGGTGAATGCATTGTACGTGAATATCTAAGTACGTAAATATTTCTTGTATTTTCAATTCAAAGTTGAAAAAATCAAAATTTATATGAGAATTAAAAAATTCTAATAATTGTGTATTAAAATATTTAAAAAATATCTGACAATGTAAATTAATTTGCAATTATCAATATATCAACTTTATAAAAATTCATCAGAATAGATTAAAAATATGCAAGATTTATGAGTGTTAAATTAAATTTTCCGAAAATTAAAGTGGATAAAATTAAAAAAATCTCACTATGCAATTGTCCGAGACGCTGTTCCGTATCTCCTGCAGACTTCCCCATGGACGAGGCTTGTCAGACTTGCCGGAATACGAGTGACAGTAGGACGATCTCGCGTAATCCATGCTGGAATTGATATCCTCCAAACTGTGCACGAGCGATTTGGTCACCTGGCCACAGTACACTTTCGGGCTGAGTTTATTTGTAGTGTCCATGAGACGCTTCAGCTTTTCCGGCGTTTTCGATGATTCCGCGGCGTCCTCGATGCCGTCAAGCAACGCCGTGGTGCAAACGGATGCGAGCGAACCAACGGACATACTGGCCAACGCGCTGCGTGTCGCCATAGCAGAGGCAGATGTTACGGCGCAGGTGGTGGTTGTGCTCTCCCCACTCCCCGCCGTGTGTCGCATCTCTGTGAAAAGGATATTTCGTACTTCCCCACTTCGGTCCAAAAGTATGCAAGATGCGAAGCGCATCGCAACGCGGGTCGCTTTTCAATATTACCCTTTTAAGACGCTTCGTTTTATAAAATTTAAATAAAAAATTCTTTGCTTTAATTTTTGAAATGTTATAAATTTAAAATAATTTTGGTACTTAAAATAATTTTAAATATAAGTTTGAATTATGAAAACTACTGTAGAAATCGACGTGTTTTTTGCTGGAAAATAACTACGTTCGCCGCATCTTGTTTCCAAGTATTGTGTCGTGTTACCTTTAGAAGGATCAAATTTAAATTCCTTATTCCATCTAGCTTCCGATGTTGCACGAACTGCCAATCGGTGTCCTGCAGCCTCATTGACAGGTTCTCTGGATGATCGTGCGTTTACATTCTGCAAACAAAGAATATGTTAGAAAGAGCTAGAATATAAACGTCATATTAAACTAAGTGACAAGCTGCTATTAATATATCTCATATATTTAATTAAATGTGATTTAAATAATATAATAAAACGTCAAATCAATTATTAATTTATTTTAAAAATTTCTATTATTTAAAAGCTTACCTCCCTTAATCAATTTTAATAATTTAAAAATATAAATATTGCCCATTGTGTGCATTTATTAATTATATATAGAATTTATCCCTAATCAGAATTTACATTTGTGTAATTTATTAAAAAATTTTTAAAAACCATCTTTAAAGTTTATCTCCTTCAATGTATTGTAATAATTTAAAATTTGATATAACAATAATAATTTAAAGACAGTACCCTATATTGCATATGAGAAGCGGATTGTCTTCTTCGTCCACAATCATTTGCTGTATTTTTGCCGGAACAGCTGCCGTAGTCGTCTTTAAAACCAATTCCAGAATCACTGTTGCTCGAATGAGCAGTCGATGTGCTGATGTTGCTTGGCTGGGGAGAAGCAGTCTCTAGACGTATGCGTGCTTCGTTGTACGGATTCGTTTCTCCATTTGCACAATCGGATATATACAATGTCTGTATGGCACCAATAAGGCTTGTACAACTATCAGGGAATTCTTGACAAACGTTCAATTCTGACGATTTTGTACACGTAAATCCAAACACATTACATGCACTGGAATGCACCTCGTGATCGATTAACTTATAATAAATAGTGAAAACATGACACGAATTGGAGACAATGTCGTCCGTGTTCTTCATGGATTTAGTTAAAATTCCAAAATACTGCTTATCTTGTTCGGAAAAGGAATTACAAAATATTATCCTATACGAAGGATATTCAGCAATAATACGATTCTCCGAATTGGTAAGTTTAATATTGGCAACATGAATGGTGAGAAGAACGGTAGTAGGATTTCGCTTCTCTGCCTTTAGTCTCTTAATGCATTTTCTTAAAACCTGCAACAATAAATACAATATTAATTATATTTTGCCTTTATTCCAAATATAAATTTAATTTACAACCGTGTGAAATTGATTTAATCATGAATAAAAAGTTAGCGTTTGAAGCATACCTGCATCATACTCGATGGATGCAACTGATTCGGTATATCGATAGTACCAAGATAGCCTACAACTGTTCTATGTACTATCTTTTCAGAATCACGCTTATGAGATACCGGAGGCGGCGGTGGTGGAAGCGGACTTGTCATATTCCAACGATAATGCAAGCCAGAGTAATTGTATTGATCTTTACTTTCAGAAGTCGCACCACCAGTCGCATGAAACATGGCTCCACTCTGCAAATCTCTGACTACCTTTGCTGCCCTGCATTGCAACTGCAAAGCACTCGCGTTAGTGGCCCGCGGCTTGTGGGCATATTTGGGTTTGGATCTTACAGTGGCCAACCCTTCCTCGTCTGAGGAATCCGAGTAATAGTTCTCGGCAATCTGCAGTCGCAGCAGCCCCTCGGAGTTGCCGATTAACTGCACCACGTCGTCGTGCGGCACCTTGCTGACATTGTGGCCGTTTACAGCAACCAGATAATCGCCGGAACGCAGACCGGCACTCTCCGCCGGACTGCCTTGCACAATGCAGCTCAGTATGCATGGTTGCTGGCCCGATATCGTGAAGCCAAAGCCTTTTGCGCCACGGATCACCTCGACCGCTCTTACGCCGTAATTCACTCGCTTCTTCTTCCGTCTGCTTTGGTGCATGTTTGCGTTTCGGGCACGTCAGGAGGGATCCCCGAGACGGTGCGCACGTTTACCACCTTTGCCGAATATCTCGCAGCGATTTCCCGGCTCCATAATTCACACTTCACGCGCTTACAATGTGCATTCTCCGCGTGACATTTCGCCAGGACGGGTTGTCAATCGAGAATTAGTTTCCGAATAAGTCTTTGGTACGCCCACTTTCTCTTCGATCATTCGTAGGTCGCGCCAATCCTGATATCCGTTGGCTGAAAATTGATAAAAATCTTGTGCAAACCAGAAATGACAAACAGATGCTACTTTACGTTGATCGTTCTCGGAACTTTGCGAATTAGCGAACTTTATGAGCAAATGTTTTGGAATGCTTTGATTGAGGAGGCTAGAGAAGGTGATCGACCTTGTAGGAAATATGCTTAGCTCGTGATGGCTTGAGGCTATGGGTAGGCATACTCTAGAGTGCGTTGTAATCAATGACATTTCCGAGATACTGATTGGCTGTTCAATAGAAACTTTTGGATATTTATATTTCCCATACTGACGACCAATCACATTCTGCAACTTTAGATTTATTGCATTTTAGTTACATCTAGAATGCAACAATCTACCTTATAATTATATAACCCAAGGAGAAAAAACAAATTATAAAATTTTATTATATTTTGTAAAGCTAGAAGATAATTCTTATAGTAGACGGTCAAAAAATAAAAAAATTTTAAATTGCATTTAGATCATTTATTGTCTCTGTATTTATTGTTTCCTTTTATGAGAGGACCAAAAATAATTTAAAAATTTGTCTTTCAATCACAAATTACTTGAAAATTTTTCAGATATCCAAATATGACTCTCTATTTCTGCAAACATAATTACTTTCAAAACTTTCTACATACAGTTCGTATCTCAGCTAATAATTTTCTATAATTTCGTTGCAAAAGTTATTTTAAATTTCTACAAATTAAAATCAGCACATGCCAACAAACGTTTACATTTTCGAAACCTGAAAAGCGAATTTTTTGTAAAATAGGCATAAAAGATACCTCGTTTGTTCCTCTTGATGTTCTATTGTTTACCGGTTAGCCGGCATATTGCTTACGACTCGATTCTATTCTACCGCTGTTTGTTTGTATGTCCTGTGTAACCGTCTGTTATCAACTTACATGATTCATTGAACAGAATAAATGTTTGGAACGTTACCGGCATAATACTTACTGATAACTACTGAGATTAAATTGCACAAAATACTGTTATTGGTCGTGCGGTGTTGAGAAGGGTAAGATTTTAGCACATTCCAGTCTCATTTTCTCTCATTCTTGTTCACCAACAAGTACGTACCGGTCATGTCTCTGTGCCTTCTTACCGCAAGTAATAACAATTTTCAGAATATATTCTCATAATCGTTCTCACATCATTGCAGACATTAAAAGGTCAGCTTGAAGCGGGTTGCGAAATATTTTGCAAGCAAATTGTTAGATTGTTGAGTGGATTGTCGTGCTATACGGTAGTTTTCTCTCGGCGATATGTTGCTACGTCATGGAATCGTGCTGTTTTTTGCGAGCCTCTGTTTGGGTATTAAATGCGGAAGCTTTCGTGTTCTCATTTCGTTGACTTCATTGCTTTATCTAGCTTTTCATTTAATCAGCATAATGACTCGATTTTCTCATTCTTTAACAAAAATATGTTTGGCAGCATAATGAATCCTATTATATATAGGTTTTTTCTATAATCTTTTATTTTGGTACTTGTGTGTGTGTGTGTGTGTGTGTGTGTGTGTGTGTATATATATATATATATATATATATATATATACATACATGCATAATTTATAAAATCATAATTTAAAATGTTACAAAGAATTTACATACATTGACAGTGTGTATATATAATCCATTATGCCATCAAATATTACATCATTGAAATTTATTATTTAATTTTTTACATTTATAGTAAGGCCAGTGAATTAATGTATAGATTCTAACCTTGCATACAGGAATTACATCAACGCTATCTCAAGTTGGAACACGTCTACTGTCATCCATGGCTCAGGATTTGAAAAAACACGGCGTTATACCAGACGTGGTGGACAAAGTACCTGAAAGTGTGCTAAATGTGACCTATCCAGACAACATCACTGTTGAAATTGGCAAGGAGCTCACTCCAACTCAAGTCAAGGATGAGCCTAATGTGAAGTGGAGTGGAAAGGACAATAAATTTTATACTTTGTGCATGACTGGTAAGCCATTCTCACATACATGCATTGAAATCTGTAAAAATTTAGTTTGTTATTTTCTTTAAATGTTCTTTTTATATAAACTATGATAAATGTAACTAAATATAAAATATAATTTTCTATATACATTTTTATTTAAACAGATCCTGATGCTCCGAGCAGAAAAGAGCCTAAATTCCGTGAATGGCATCACTGGCTGGTGGGCAATATTCCTGGAACAGATGTGTCCAAAGGAGAGGTTTTATCCGCATACATTGGTTCTGGACCTCCAGAAAAGACGGGTCTTCATCGATACGTATTCTTGGTGTACGAACAACCTGACAAGATCAATTTTACTGAGAAACGATTGACCAATCGGAGTGGCGATAATCGTGGCAAGTTTTCCATCAGAAACTTTGCCGCTAAATACAAGCTTGGCGATCCAATTGCTGGTAACATGTATCAGGCGGAATATGACGATTACGTACCAAAGCTCTATGAACAGCTCAAAGGTTAAATTTATATAATACATATAATGATACACATACACTGATGTATGTCCAACTATTTCTTGAATAAAATGCATTTTAAAATGCTTTTCAAAATATAGTTTGTTTTTTAAAATTAAAGTCATAGGTCTTAGATCATAGATCTTATTTTTTAAACAATTTATCTACAAAAACATACACAAAGAAACGCGCAACTTTTAATACACTATGTACAAGTTGCATAATAATAGATATAATAATAGAATATAAAAAAATATGAATATATTTTAAATAGATTCATATTAATGACATATTTAGTTTTTTTTGTCTATTATTATATTAAATAAAAATCTATCAGTATATATATATATGTCATTTTTATTTTAAATCCTTGATTATTCTATGTATATAATATTACGAATGCAAGTTATAACAAAAATACAATTGGAGAAAACAAGGAAGATGTTAAGAAAAAAATTGCAAATTTTAAGCGATAGAAATTGAAATCTTACACGCTATTAAGCATTATAAAAAGTAGTTCTAATTTTACTACGAAGAAAATATTTTCATGTTTGAACTTCGCAGTAAGCTCTACTTGCGCTGAACAGCTATATAAAAATATTGTATCAATTGCATAAGTGTATGATTTACGACGTAAGAAATTTTTTTAGAGATGAATCTTTACCACAAACTTTACATTTACGTTAAGCTACGTGTTAGCAACACAGTATCGGTGGAGGTATTGGAAAGGCTGGCAAGATTGGCCTTCTGATACACAAGTTGGTGGGGATATACTTAGCAACAAAACTTCATCTCTTTCGAGTCTCGTCAATACTACTGTTGCAGTTTGGTGAGAGCAGTTGTGCTAAGAATGAAGCATTTAATATCAGGTTTGTCTTGGTTTTGCTCTACTTTATAGAAAAATATCACATTAATGAGTATCAATTTGACATTTCATATCTAGTAAAGTATTATTCCTGATTTTGCTCACACTAATTATTTTCAGGAATCCTTCTCTGTGCAATCGGCGTGTCATTAGGCGATGTCGAATCGGACTTTAAGAAGGCAAAGATCGAGCCTGACATTATAGACAAAGCACCAATCGAAAAAATCGAGGTATGTATTTAGTACGCATCTAAGTTTAAATAGCAAGAATTTAAATCTAAATTCTTCGGATATACAAAGATACGGAATCAAATTATAGATTTCCAATTTTGGCATTAAACTTCTTCCAGATCTTTGATAGTTAGAAAAGATTGCTGATTGTTAAATGCTAAGCTTGATATGTAACGTTTATTCTAAGAAAGAAACTTAATTATCTGCAAAATTTTCTTATAAATATGCATACAAACTCATCAATATTTATATACCAATATAAGTCCTTCTGTTATACTGTGTAATATGCTTTGTGGCACTGTTTATATAAAAGATATATGCGTAGGTAAAATATGGTGATAAAGTAATCGATTTGGGAACGGAGCTGACGCCAACCGAAGCTCACGAGATTCCTGAAATACATTACAAACACGAGGGTGGAGTTTTATATACACTTGTTATGACGGGTAAGCCTTGAACCACTCGAATTAATGAAATGTAAACATTTCTAAAAATGTTTACATTTTTGCAAGAACATATTTATAAAAAGTAGCTCGAAATAAGATTGCTTTGTTTTCTCACGGTAATGGTTTCGCTATGCAAATCGTGAGGTAGTTGGGTGCGCATAAAGACGCGCTATCCTCGACGAGTTCAACTTTCACCGTCTCGGTAACCAGTTTTCTCTTTCCACCGCCGCTATTTGACGACACGCACAGACTTTACCGGCATCTTAATTATCAAGTTGCGGTTTACATTAATGCAATCTGCAAAAACATGAAATATATTAGTACAATCTTTGGACGTTTTTTATGCATATTTTTTGTATGAAAAATGTATGAAAATTCTTTCGTCTAAACGAAGAAGCATTTTATTATAGATCCCGATGTGCCGAGAAGGGGAGGCTACAATCGAGAGTTTCGACATTGGCTCGTGGGCAATATACCGGAGGAAAATATAGCTAAAGGTGAAATTTTAGCGGAATACGTCGGCCCCGCCCCGCCGAAGAATACGGGAAAGCACCGCTACGTGTTTCTCATCTACAAACAGAATCAGGGTGCCATTACTTTTGACGAAAGAAGATTGAGTACTTGGTGAGTAAACATGAATGACGCACGACGCAGCTCGGATATCCGATACGTTTTATCTCACCTGATTACAGGGACGGAAGTCAGCGGAAGAGGTTCTCCATAAAGAAATTTGCGGAAAAGTATAATTTGGAGGGTCCAATCGCTGGTAACTTTATGATGGCGGAGTATGATGACAATGTACCTGCTTATCACAAGCATTTGAATCTTTGATCAACTCGCACGTATATATACGGATTCAATTCTTTCTTTTTTCAAATAAGTAAAAGTAGATACGTAGATTTCATATATTAGGTGTAGTAAAAAGTAATCCATTATTTTTGCATTAAATTGAAGGCTTTATTTAGCATAGTTAGAATGATCCGATTTAGGTCAAATATGCACCGTTTTGTTCGATAACTTGTTGCCATTTTGAAGGTAATTTCATAATGCCTCTCTCATAGAAACCCTCGTCCCTACTGGTAAAAAACTGGGACAGTCGATTTTCACAAGCTTCTCTTGAGGCGAATTTTTCACCAGCAAAATTATTCATCATAGACAGGAACAGGTAGTAATCACTTGGCGCCAGGTCCGGACTATAAGGTGGATGCATAAGAACCTCCCAACCAAGCTCCCGGAGCTTTTGGCGAGTCACTATCGATGTGTGTGGCCTGGCGTTGTCCTGATGGAACACAATTCCTCTTCTATTGGCCAAAGCTGGCCGCTTCAGGGCGATTGCTTCCTTTAGACGGTCCAATTGTTGACAGTACAGGTCCGAATTAAGAGTTTGGCCGTAGGGGAGCAGCTCATAGTAGATGATTCCTTGCCAATCCCACCAAACACACAGCAAAGCCTTCCTGGCCGTCAATCCTGGCTTGGCCACCTTTTGCGCCGGCTCACTGCGATTTGACCACGACCGTTTTCGCTTGACGTTGTCGTAAGTGATCCACTTTTCATTACCAGTAATCATCCGCTTCAGAAATGGGTCGATTTTGTTGCGATTCAGCAGCGATTCGCAGATGGAAATTCGGTCCATGAGGTTTTTTTGCGTTAATTCGTGTGGCACCCATACATCGAGCTTCTTTTGGAATCCAGCCTTATTTAAGTGGTTCCAAACGGTTTTTTGTGCAATGTTTAGCTTCTGGGCAATCGAAACAGTGCTTACATGACGGTCGGACTCGACGATTTCCATTATTTTATCAACATTTTCGACAATTGGCCTTCCAGGGCGTGGTGCATCTTTGACATCAAAATTACCGAAACGGAATCGACGAAACCAAAATTGTGCGTGATTGGCTGTTACAGTATCAGGACCATAAACATTATTCACATTTTTAGCCGCCTGGCTTGCGTTTTCACCTTTATCGAAGAAAAACTGTAAAATATGACGTATTTTCTCTTTGCTGGTGTCCATCCTTGACGTGCGCTCAAACAATACTGAGTCAAGCAATCACAAAACTGTCTCAGAAGTTTTTTTAGTTCGAAATCTTATCTTTCTAACGCCATAAAGCGTGACCCGATCGCACTTATACAACGCGAGATACTATAGCGGATTACTATAGCCATCTATTGGAAAAATAATGGATTACTTTTTACTACACCTAATATTATTTTAAATCTTGCACTCTGACACTTTTTCTTTTGGAGTTATAAGAATAGTATTGCAAATTTGTGCCATTATTGAATATAAAGAGAAAATAAATACTATGACTATGACACATATTTAATTATTTATATATTAATTTTTATATAGTAATTTTCGTAAAAAGTTGCTATTTGATATACACACACATGTCCTTTTCAAAATGCGAACGCATTCTTGCAAAATTATAACATATTTTATTCATCATTCATTTAAACTATTTAAATCTAATTTTCATGAAAAATTTCTAATTGATATTTACACATATATCTTTTTCAAGATGCAAATACGTTCTCGCGACGGAGCATCGTAATTGTAAACAATAAAATTTAACCCCCCAAAAAAAAAAGATTATTTACAAGTAGCTAAAGCCGTGATAACGAATTCTATTTCCGTCGCTGTTGTTTTATTATTATAAATATAAAAGGTACATGACATTCATTACGTTCGTATCCCCGAGGTCGTTACATGACATTATAGCGCCTTCGATGGCGTATCACTAATAATAGGTGTGAATCCTTAATTTTACGAGCTTACTTTTTACGACCGATTATTAAATACCTGCAGCTTTAGCATTACATCATACACATTGACTAGAATAATGAGCGCATTTCACGATTGAGATTATGATCCTGATTAACGCCGTTATCGCGTTAAACCTTAAAAAGAGCACATAAAAGCTAATCGGGAAGCAGAAATGTTAATTCCATCGCGAAATTACAAAGTACAAAGTACAGCCTTGTCTTCCTCTATATATCGCCTTTGTTTCGCGACCTTGCAGCATGGTTGTCCGCGTCTTCGTCATCGTTATCAGTATCGGCGACATGAGAATTAAATACGTACATGTTGTTTCATGTCGCGTAGGCCTTTAGAATACTGATATATAATTAAGCTTTAGACCAAACACTTGTCTACTGTATTCCCGCACAGCCAGCGAGATTACTTTTCCTTCCAGCGAGTACGTGTTTTGTAAGCGACGCTGTTGGAGAAGTTAAAGATACTTTTATTACCAATATTGTTATCACCTTATTTTTATGGACAGCGCAATGTTGAATGAGTAAAATTTTCCTTTTTATACCTTTAACATACTTTTCGCGATACTTCCTTAACGCGGTTCTAATCAAACGTACGTTTACGCGCAAATCCTATGTTTTTTTTTACTAATGCACCTGCAAATAAATAGTTTTCATTATTTTCATCGTTTTGCGTCGGTATATGATGGACGCGCAATTCGGTAAATCGAAAAATGAAATATACCGCAAGCACTGCATTTTTAGAATAGCACCGATTTGAGCTCACTGTCGAATCAGCTGAGGATATTTTCTCTCATTTCGTCCACGTGCTTCTATTCGCAGAAGAAATCCTCCATCCGCGGCAGTGACAGCGGCTTTACAAATCATCTTCGTCTTGCGATCGTGGTTGGCAGCGATAATAATACGTTTATTGCGATTCAAAACCGATTCGTAGAACGACGGAGATTCTTAGTGTCCTCGAATATCCACGATATGTAAACGAACAATCGTCTGATAATCGATGAATCCATCACGATTTAACATCATATTAAAACCAATTGTCGTCAACGCGAAGGCTTGCAGTTCTCAAGGTAGGGTTAGATCTGGATGTTCCGTTATGTTCCAGCAGAGTTGATGGTCTCGAACATCTCCCCAGCCACCGTTGCCCTTCCGGAGTTTCGTCTTCTTTGCCGTCCCGGCGATCGTTAACGTTAACTGCGAAGGGAATAAGTGGCTGCGCGCCGATTTCAAGACGTTTTGAACCTTCGCTATTACCGCCGTTGATTCACAGTTGTTTTTCTTATGGTGCACTCCGCTGCAAAAGCAAATACGTATATTGTAATTAAATAGAATAAAATAGGTATCTTAGCTTGAAGCTAGATTAGTGTTCAGAAATAACATCTGCGATGTTAGAAATTAAAAAACGCGGAAAATAAGCGTAGATTCAAGATTATGGTCGAGAATAAGAAAGTTGTTACCGTGAATTCATTGTTTTCGTAAGAATTAAAAGCGAGCAGTCGTGCACTTCAATTGTGTCTATCTAAGCATGCACGACACTGCGCCTATCTGTACATATTTATGCTTCGCCGAGAGATACACAGAAGGCTAATTATATTCACCATTCCCCGATATGGAAGACTCTCGGAGCTCTCATCGTCATTGTAATCAGTCCAGACTCGGTGCGAGGCGTTATTCCGGCGCCCTTACTCGGCGGCAAACAAGTTTGCGCGATGTATTGCAAACTCCAATCCCAATTGTAGTCGTCGTACGAGCAAAATTGTGCGGCGCATTTTCGCAGCTTGTTCCACGTAACGCGATTGAACGCCATGCCCATGTTATGCTTGCTGGATATCCACGGTGTCACTTCCGCCTGTTTCAACAGAATGAAAACCATCCGTTAGTGATCCACGACTTAACAATCCTGCGACTTTACTTAATCCCTTAAGTATCGAGAGATAAAAACGTTTTTTATCAACCGAAATTATTTCTGCGAATAATTACATTTACGTAAGGATGATATATTGAAGATTTCTTAGGATGCTGAATTCTCGAATCTATCAGGATTTTCAAATCCTTAAAATAAAATGTGCTTTCTGAAATAATTCGTATAAATATATGCGATATTAACACTTAAGGGATTAATTCTAACATCATATAAAATCTACTAAGGGGAACTAATCAAAACTACACGTCTATGAAGCGATTATTTGAAACAAAGTCAGAATTGCAGTTGTAATTATTTCATCGATATTCCATTCTCGGCGTTTCTCATCGATATTCAAATCAGAACTGAGGTTTATTGACAAGGTCTCACAGTTTGGTAACTGCAGTTGGTACGTGCGAATAAATTCGGCATTTCGTACGCTTACAGTAACAGGAGCGCTCTAATTGCATTATGACTTTGTATCGTGCGGATAACGGTGGATGCTCGAAGCATGCACTACTGCCTCGAGGAAAATTGATCTACAGGAATGTTCCACCTACTGTGTTTGGCATGGATGTAAGAATACATTAATACTGAACTGTTACGTTATATTCGTAAAGTGTGACCCTCGCCGAAGAAACTCAGCTTTTGATGTAAGTCTTCGGCTCTAACAAAGCATCTACTTTTTATTCAAACCGATCCGAGGCCGCCGTTTTTAAAATTAAGTTTAACAAAAATGGGACTTTGTGTTATTCTTATCAAAGAGATAAAAGAAAATTAAGTTCACATCAAGACTGTTGTAAAGCAAATACAAAGCTAAATTAAAAACTGCGATATGAAAATACGAATATAATTTTCATCGCAAGCTGATTTCTTCGGAGATCACAGCACTTTATCTCTGCAAGATAAAGAGATCGTTCTCTCGATCTTTTGATTCAACGTCAAACAATCGGAGAGCCAATAATTGATCGCCACACAGTGCGTCGTTGCTAAAGGCTAGATCGATACGAGCCGGTGGAAGCCGTGCAAAATTTGGCGATGTACAAAATCTACCGAAAAGGGCGGGGGACTACTCGCGTTCTCGTGGAGGTGATACGATGACAGGTGAAGCAAAGGGTGAACGGTGCAAGGCCAGGCGAGTAGAAAGAAAATCAAAGTATGCTGCTGCTATTTCGGGCGGAAGATTCGGTGGATTCGGTTGGACTCGAGAACCTTCTGATAGTGGTTGTAGAGGCTGGGCAGGAGTTGGAAGGTCCACGCGGGTGCCGCTTGCACCGTGTTCGCGTTCTGATAGTAGGTGGAGGACACGCCGCTACCACCGGCAGCGTTGCCACTGATGCCGCTGCCGCCGCCGCCGTTGCCGCCGCCGCCGCCATTTCTGCCCCCGGTGCTTCCGTTACCGATGCCGGCGGCGTTAGTACCGGCGTTGTTAACGCCGTCACCACCGCCGCCGCCGACGGTGACGATGCCGCCGATCAGCTGCCTTTGCATCGTCGCCGGCGCCTCCTGTCGCTTAAGCCCGCGCAGCAGCTCCTTCTGCAGAGCGCTATCGACGCCGAGGAACTAACGGATCGGGCGTGCGTGAAACATCGACACAGACATACTAATGGTGAACATATAAATATGTCGAATATACGTTTAATGTTGTAAAGTTGTGCGTAGAGCCAACGATTCGACATACTTCTGCCTCGAGATTTCTGCGTTGGTCAAAATCAGTCAGAGAGATACATATGTGTGTGTCGTTTCAAAGCGAGGGGGACTTTTGCGTCTTATCGGATACCGCCGCCGCCGCCGCCGCACGCGTGCATTAATTTTGCCAGATATTGTCTCACGCTGCAAACGCCAGCGATAAAATGTATCTCGTGTGTGTCGGTGTGAGAGAGTTCGTCGTTACTCGCGCAATTATGATTGAGGAAATGAGTGCATGAATTGGCGTATAAAATACGTTGGACTATTTGCGCACTGCTGCCTAAATTAATCTCTCATTAACGTGTACCCGCCCGTAATCGTAACTTTATCTTATGCGTGAAACATCGCGTGAAGCAAAATTAAGAATATGAGTGTTAGCGCACAAAAAGATCTTACCTTACGACTAAAATCCGTAAAATAGTTGTACGTCTTTAAATATGTACCCAACGATAGAACGTTGCACTTCTCGCAATTGAGCTTGCAAGTGCGTTCCATGAGTCGGAGAACGTGCAGGAAATCTTCGGCGACGTAGTGATCCTCCTCGAGGAAGAGCACCATTCCGGTGTGATTTCTCGTTATTAACAATTGATCGAACACTCTGTTCGCTTTCCACCACCAATGATGCTTCGTCTGCGTAAATTTAGCTTCTCTGTAGTGGCCGTACAAATCCGGGTGCTTGGCGTTGGTGCATTTTAAATTTAAAGCCCTGAGATTTGCGAAAAAGTCGTTATTTGACGAGTTCGAACAAGAAAGTTTAAACAATTATGATTAATTAATTAATTATACACAATAAATTATGTCAATATCTCAACTCACTGTTCCTTGCGAATATTTCGGGGACAATCGTTGGGCCCTTCGCCGGGAAACGTGCGCGGATGAGTCTGTATACTGTGCGGATAGAAGATCTGCATGACCCGACAGAAATCAACGCTCTGCACAAGGTAATTGATATCCGGATGCCAGATGTCGTGGCTAAACACGAGAAGGGCCTGCTCGATGTCCTTCGCTTGTGCCAGCGACACGATAAGGTGCCGCAGATAAGTGAGTCGCGTGTGTACTTGGATAACTATAATCGGAGCATCGCTCGCCAACGGCCCGAACGCCTCCTCATTGTACATTTTTTGCTCCGCATTCGCCCTTTCGATCTTACGCCGGATTTCCGCGATCTCCAACTCCGTGAGCGTTCCCGAACTGGCATTTGTCAAGCTCGCGGACGAATTACGGCCCTCCTTAAGAAATCTGAAAACGCAAAAATGGGATCAGTCAAAGTGTCTTACAGCGGAGGATAAAAGTTATTCAAATGGAACTTGTCATTAATATTCACATTTGAGACAAATAAATTGGAGAAATTATATTTTTTGAGTTTCAAAAAAATTATCAAACATATTCTATATAAAGGAACGATTAAAGGATCTTAAAAAATTGCATAATTTATATATAATCAATATTCCATATTCTTTCATATACAATATTTTTCCGTTCGTCGATTTAAAGTCTCATATTTTGCAATAGGAATAATTTTGCAAAATCCAAGCAAACGAGGGTCGCGAGATTACCTGTGCAACTCTTGAGGCACGAGGGAGAAAAGGGTCTCGTTCGATGATGATTGACCACCGTCATTTCGACCCGTCAAACTGATCACGTGGAGCTGAAGCCAGAGGAACGTAGCCAGGAAGACGAACACGAGAGTTCTCAATAAAATCCCACGACTCGATCTCGACCCTCCAACAACTGTCGTTCCTGAATATATTATAAAAAAATGCTAAAATTCCTAGTTCTCGGTTTTGGTAGAATGTTTCGCTCGTCACACAATACATGAATCTTTTATCTCGAAAATGTAAGTCTTTCTTACTGTATGGATAAACATGCACTTTGTATGCTAAAAGAATGCACTTAAATAGCTCTACTGCTTGTAAAGATGCGATAAAATATTATCAAGAAATCGTTCAAGTTTTGAGCGTTATGTGCAATCGTTAAAAGTCAGAACTCGCAAAAAGAAAACTTTTATCGCCACCGGTACGATAAAAACAAGAAAAAAGAATTCTAAAAATTTTCCGATCTCGGATGGAAATTTTCCAAGTTCCCGCGGGTTAAAGTTCTTCTTTTCGAAATCTGACATTTCCTCGAAAGTTTTTGCATAGCATTTCAGAGTTCTATCGCAAAGTATCGCGATTCAAATTGATTCTGAGATTAAAATAGAAAAGTTATTATCAATAATCGTAATAATAATAGCATTAATAACAAAAGCAATATGTAAAAATGAAAAAAAAACTAGCGTTCTTATCGAATCACGTGTCTCATTCGTGTGCCTGCGGTGTTGTATTTTGTATATGATAACGTGATATCATTAAACTTACCTCCCGACTTTTTCCTGGTATATAATGTATAGCCGGAGTACTGCTTCGCGAAACCTTGTATGGTCGAGTCGTGTACTTTTCCTGTGCGCATAAATAATTGACCGGCAATGTTAAACAAGGCGAGTTGAATATATAATTAATTTTCATCACTCATTGTCGGTTTTCTCCTTTGTATCGCGGCACGCTTATCGTGAAAGAAAAACCGATAATGTGCATGAAAATGACCAGATAAAACTTCTCTTGCTCGAGTTTTGAATAAGACAAACTATTGACAAATGATCATGATTGTTTAAATGCGCGATGTATCGCATAATAATTACAACGATATTACAATGTACGGATTGTGCGTTGAACGAGAAACCGCAAATTTGTAACAACTTGTTCGTACGCAACACCGTCATATCATCGACGTACATTGCTTCATTTACGTAAATAGATAATAAAAGACACGTGTATATAGGTTAGGCATTTGTTAAATAAGTATTCGACGAACACATGAATGTTACCTTTGCATAACAAATTTTATGTAACAAATTGCACATCATCGTACGCAACATCGGCATATGTACATTACTTCATCTGCATGATAAGAGAGACACGTGTATATAGGCCTGGCATTTGTCAAGTAGATACATCGAGTTGCTTTTATATAATACTGCTTGGTTAGAATTCGTTCCAGATAAGCGGACTGTTTTAAATCTTTCCTTTTTCGCTCACCTTTCATTATTCCTAGGAGATCGTCCTGAAACAAAATTTATACGAGAAGATTAAGATATAATTTAAGTGAGATAAATAATTTCAATAAAATAAATTATTATTTATTATTTTACACACGCACATTTTACACCAAAATTTTTCATTACACAAAATTTAAAGTGCTTTATCTATTATTAACCAGTTATCTACTTTGCCGCTCGGTTAATTTACGTGAAAGAAGCGTTTTTTTTTTATAAAGCATTTGTCTAAGCTGTTTTAAATTATCTATCATACGTATATATCAGATTGGTATAAAAGATTAGTGCAATTAAACATGATTAACTTGATATTACGCAGCAACAAATCGTTTATCTATTAAAACGCGTTTGAAACAGCAAAACAGTCTTTATAATCTGTTTTTAGAGCGCTACGAATGATTAATATGAATATGTTGCTATCACGCTAGTAAAAAATTAATGATCTCCACTTCATAAATTATCGAGGCAAGGACTACTCTCGTAAGTAGAGCATAATTATTATCATCAATCATATACTAACCAATTTCGCTAAACGATACGCAAATATATGTGCATGAATATCGTCTAATTATCATGTTGCGCGTTACTGTTTGTCAGACACGATGATAGCGCAGATGTCTATTGTAGATGACAGAGTGTCTGGCATATTGATTACACATATTTCGATCGAATTGTCACCGTGTAATACGCATAAGCGAGGTGCTATCCAGAAATTCCTGGAAAACACAGCACGTCTAAACACAATTCTTATATTAAATTTACTTTAATAAATCTAAAAATATTGCACGTACACTGCAGATAAAAATGTAATTCGCATTACATCAGTAAACCACCAGTCGCGTTGCCGATAATAGCCTGACATTTGCATATAGCTTATTATTATTCTGTTGTAGTACGAAGATGCCTTGCTATTAACAACGATAACGACTACGCGACTTGATGACTTAATAATGTAGTTGCGCATTACATATTTACTTGTGGAATATGTGTGATTTTTTAAAAAATTTATTTAAATAAATTTATTAAACAAATTATAAGAAATATTTTTTTAAATCCTGATAAGAACATTTCTATGCGCGTCCCCAAAGGAACTATCTTGAAAAAGATGGGAGAAGACTGGAGGATCTCAGGTAATGTCTTCCTTTATAAGTACATTGAGGGAATTTTTGGATAGCACTCCGTATATTACACGCACTTACGTAAAACAATGATAATAATGATGTTCCGCGACATTGTAAGGCGAAGATGAATGCGCGGCTGTCGCGTGTTGAAATGGTTACAATAATGTATTATTGCTCGAGTGGAGGCCATAATTTTTTCCCGCGGCCATGGAATGATAATAATCTTATAATCATCACTAGTATGTAATTTATTCACCATTGTATGTGGCTATTTCGCATAATACAAATCTCTTTTCGATTTTTTTATTAAGAGCGATAAAAGTCAAGCGAAAAACTTGAAATTAATATTAAAATTGTAATATCCGCAGTTTTATGAACATAAAATTAATTAAGTTTGTCATAAAATGCCCGTAGTTCATTAATAAACATAATGATATAAATTCAATTGAACGTATGTTAATATTTTACTAAAAAATAATTCATTAATTAATTTTCTTTTATGAAATTATTGTGGATTTAGTAAAATTTTACAATATATATAGAATATTCTATTTAAATCATGTGGTGACATTTAATTTAAATATTGAAAAGAGTAAAGAATTATAGAAAACGCAACACAATTTCGAAAAAATCGATTTTCTTGCATTTTTTAAACAGAATCTCAAAAATCAGATTTCCTAAAATCTCCTAAAAGGTTTTTCCGAAATACAAAAAGAATTAATAAAGCTGCAAACATTTGTAGACTACGGTGTGTAAGCCAAAATCCGATGCGTTTGAGGTTAGCGCACTACACAAAGAGTGCCGAACTGCTCGTAAATTTCAAAGAATAAAGCAAAACGAAAATTTTGAACAAGAGAAAGATTTATTATATGGTCCTAGTATCACCGAAAAAAGAATCAGAACTATAAATCTTCCGTTTCTTTTTGTTATCTATACTCAAAACTTTAAATGTATTTTTCTCAAAACCACGTTTTTCAATTTTGATGGACATAATTTCTCGCGTTCAATTAATCGATTGCAAATTTACTTTATATATAAAATATTCTCGATTTACAGTCCGTAAAATAATTATTTCTCTCATGTTATTCAATCATATTTCTTCTCGCGATCGATTTATTGAAAATATAAATACCAGTAAAGCGTCGAATCATTTAACCTATGAATTCCATTTACGGCGACAGACATCACATCAGACGACATTAAAAATACATTCGATTACGCGTAGTACGTGAGAATGAATATTTGACGAGCAACGAGATCGATAGACAGATAATTTCGAGATGTCGCGTGCGAAATGACAAAATGACACGACGATGCTTGACGAGCGAACACTTTCGGCTTTTGCGCAAAATAGCTCTTTCTGTTTTAGTTGTATTATATTTATTCGCGTCGACAATATAAAAAGACCGCGATTGCATGCAAGACACCGTTCTCGAATTCCGCCCGTATTTCTTCGATCCGTCTCGCTGGCACACGTTCAACGAACGCCGAACTCCTTCGATCGATTCGCCCGGTATCCTCCAAGAATCTCTCGCCATTGTACCAGATATTGTTTGCAATTTCGGTTATGTAGAAAGCAGTTCAAAGTGACCGAGCAATTTAAAGCGAGACCAAATTTTAAGAATGCTGCACAAATCGATAGACCGCATCGACGATATCGCATTATTGCTATGTAATATGCGGAGCAAGATGCTTTTTCCTATAACTTTTTATGGCCTGAATAAAAATTATATTTTTGAAACGATAAACTTTTATGCAGATATAAAGACTGCTGTATATAGTACCTGCGGTACCTGCATACGCCAATGAGCACAATATGGAACGCAGGTATAATGTCGTTTCACCTCACGTTTTATAGATTCGATTAAATTTGCGATTTTTAGTTGCACTTTTCACTTTCACTTTTTTATATATTTTTCTTACACTGAAAATGGCCACGTACCTTGGCCGAAACGTCTGTATAAATTTAAAATAAAAAAGAATTTTTGAGCAAATCGATCCAGCTCTTGCTCTGTTGGCTTTATTTTAAAACGATTTTTAATTTAATTAAGGAAGAGCAATAACTTAATATTATATATTTTTCTGTTCCTTTTATCCACAAGAAGTATTCTAAACAAGTGACTAGAAAACACAAGGCAATTACATTCAACTGGCGAAAACATTCTTTATCATATAGTATATTGATGTGTCACATATTTATTCTGCTATCGCGGTAGATAATGCTATCAGTAATAACATGACATCGTCGAGGAAAAAAGTGTCGTGTGTTTCTAAGTAATGTTGTTAATTCATTCTTACCTCGATGAAGAAGAATGACGCATTGTCTTGCCCTTCATTTTCACGAAATCTGAAACAAATACAGCAAAAGTTGTATCATCCACGGGCGCTTGAAAAATGCATATTTTAAAACTATATTTGTTTTTAGCAAAGTTTGAGGAGCAAATATACCTCGAAATGTACCGGAAGTATAAAAATTTCGAATCGTTTATTTTCATATCTAAAATACAAATTTTACGTAAATATTTAATATTTCAGAATTTAATAAATGGTTTAGTACTGTAATATTAAATTTTGTATTTTTATCCTTAAACATATAAATGCCATTACTTAATTAAAAAATTAATTAAAAAATAAATAATTATCCTACTTCAGTCACATGCGACATCATATTGATCTTATTTTCGTATTCAAGCTTGCAGTGTGTATAGAGAGATTGCACAAAAAATGCGAAATGTCAATGTCACACATATATTTGAATGAAAAGTAGCAGTACCATGTGTAAATCGATACGGAGACGGATGTGAAATTAAAACCACGTTACAAACTGCATACAAGTCGGTCTTATGCCGTATCGATTTAATATCGTTCCGCTCAAATGAGCCTTTACATAGCGACCTTCACCAAAATGCAACCATACTGGCACAACAATGTTTTAAAGCGTTTAAGAATTAATTTAATTACAGTTATATTATAGTCTCAAGCCTACAAAAAAAAAGTTGTATTCGAAGTCATTATCTCGTTATACCTTGTCGAGCATGTATAGTCAATGCGAAAAGACTTTTTCCTGATTAATAAAATGCTGTAAAGTGTGCTTTATCGCATCGTTATCGAATGTGTTCGCTAACGGTGAGTGTAAAACAATTGGATTGGAAAGTCATCGGATTCGAAAACAGTAATTAAGGTAACCTTGTCTTCCGTTTCCTCATTGTACAGTGTATGAGTATCGAATTCGAATACTTACAGAGTACATTGTGAGTTTATATGGATAATATTTTTATCGAACTTTAACCAAACGTTTGTTTTAACAGAATTTTAATACAAAGCTATCGTAATATTCAATAATTTTATTTTTAAATTATATTTTTAATATATGAAATTACCGTAATATTTAGATTTTGCTTTTCGTCGATTTTTAGTAAGAACAAAAAATCGAAAAAACCCTTACTTAACTCTCGCCTGGTGCCTTTAATTTGCAACGATAAGCGAGAAGAAAGATATTAATTTTTGCACTTTCGTATGTTTCACGTATTTCCGTATATTGTGTATTCGTGTTTCATGTGTAATGCATTCTTATTTCTCGCTAGGTACTATTGAATTATAAATGCATCGTACAGTATAAAATACAAAGAGACAGAAGAAGAAAGAGCGGGAGAAAGAGAAAGAGAGAGAGAGAGAGAGAACATACCGCTACGTGCTAATTGTAACAAAACGTCGAAGGCGGTGACCGGAAATTTGGATCTTTTCATTCGTAAGTGCGTGACTCGCTCTGGCGCTTTTGACAGACGGCTGCACCGTCTATTTCTGTGTTTCTTGGAGAAGATGCTATAGTTGTTATCGCGCCGCGCGCATGGCGTTGCTGCCGACATTTGCGATGGTGAATAATGCATTAGATTGTTATATGTATATATGCGAATCGGTGTGAGACGGCTGTGCACATATATAAGCGTGCGAATAGGTGGGTGTTACCGATATTGCGCTACCTCCGTTACGCAAAAGTCTGCGTGCATGTGTGCTATTTGTGTGCACGTGTGTGTTTGTGCAGTCATGCCTCATGCGGAATATTACTGCGGTGTCCCTGAATATCGATTTACTAGTATGAGTGAAGCTCTTCTTTTTACAGTCCAGCGTTCCTCATAACTGCTTTAATCATTTCCTCGTTACGCATCATGACAGACAAGTGCAACTTCAATAGGCCGCTAATAATTCGAAATGCTTTTCGTAACAACGCTTATTCAAACAAAAACTGGATTTCACGGATATGCAATTATTTCTTTGTATATCGAACGCCCGTGTAGCATAAAATTAAATCTTTTTATGTAACATAATCTCATAATCGTTTCACTCGTTTTTCCAGTCGATGTTACTCATTGTGGACTGACAAGTGCAGTAGAAACTTGAAATTTTATAACATTTATATATATTTCGTAATACATATTTATTTCTGAAAAAATATCTAGACTGCCTCGGTATATTTTAGAATCATTCTCATAAAATATTTTTTTGACGAGGAAAAATATCTTTGCTGAAGAAAAATCGATTTCAAAGTTGTTAGAATATTATTATTAAATTGAAATATGGTGAATCGTGAGATATTCTTTATACTGAATAACTTATACATTTACAGATAATGCAAAAATAATTTTTGCTATTCAAGCCAAAGAGAATAAGTTTTAATATTTCGTGAAATTTCCTAGTCGGTTTCAAGTAAAATTGCTGCATGAGCTCGAATAATTCTAAAATTTGAGAGTTATGAAAGTAATTTACAACATATATAAAGATTGCAAATGTAACTTTAATGATATCGACTTTATAATTCATCGTGAAATTGTTACCTTTTACTTCTCGTGGTTGGTTCTACCTGAAAAATTTCACTTTCCGTTCGTGATCGTGGAACTTTAAGAAAGATTGCATAATAATATGTTTCGAGTACAGCCAATACTTCAGACATTTATACAATGAACAATTCACTTAATTCACTTCAACATGCAATAACATGGAATCTGTATATTCAATATCGCAATTTTTACAACAATTGAAGCAGATTTAATCGCAATAAAATATTATTTTAATCAACAAAATCAAAAACATTGTTTATTGACTATGAAATAAGTAAAATAAATGTAACAAAACAAATGTAACACGCTTCACGATGAAAATATTACAAAATATATGAGATACACTGAAACACTGCAAGTGCGGTCAATTAAAAAGTCTATTATTACTGTAAAATCGTGCATTCCAAAAAATAATATTTTTTTAAATTAAATTTAATAATAATCGATTTTATACTTAAAATTATAGTAGCAATAAAATATATTAAGAGTTTCCTTTCTCTCGTTTAAATCCAGACTCTCAAAATCTAAAAAAAATGTAGAACAGGATTATTATGTATATTTTTAACAACGTTACTGAGGCACTATTAGGAGGCATTTAGGAGGATCGTTTATCATAGCCTTGCCTATTGTGAAAAATCATTACACCGTTTCAGCCCAAGATGTTGCCAGTGTTATGTTTTGCATATGCGCGCGCACACCGGATAGATAAGATTGTGTTCGCAATTCACATCGGGAATGCATGAAATCTTTCGACGAAACGCTATTTCTAATGTATTTCTTTCCACAAGTTGCACAGCGAAATTTTCTCTGCTTTTTAGATGAGACTTGTGATATCCCACGCGATATCTCGCCCGACGATCTTCGCCTCTTTTTTTTTGCCGATTATTTATTCCTGTCGTGTACATTAATCATTATCCCTTATCGTACGTTACCGCCCACTCGCTATATTAACCGAAACATCTCGACTGATGACATTCCTGACATTTGTTCTCACGTCTGAGCACGACTCATTTATCGCGATAACGGCCACGGTTGTCAGATAGCAAATCGCAAAAATTTAAATGGATCACATAAGTGTGGTATACAACAGCTAAAAATAACAATATCTATAACAGCTACATTGTGTGTGTGTGTGTGTGTGTACAACATACAGAAAATCACGATATGTTATTAATGTCGTAATTGATACCAGACGTTTATCTGATGTAATATGGCAAATGCGGAAAACATTTTATCTGGCGATATATTAATAAGCTATTAAAGTAATCAAAGAGTGAAATATCACTGCAACTATTGTTGATATTTTATTGCGGAAATCTCGTAGGAAACCGCAGAATGGCAATGGCGGTTTTTTATCGTATCGCAGAGCTATCGCCTTTTTTTTCAGACTTATGGTATGTAAATTGTCGTGAACAAATAATTAGTTTCAATCTCATCGCCGGATAAAGATCGGAAACTGCATAAGTCGCGGTTAACGGCGCAACGAAATTGCGATATTAGCGATACCGGATAAGAGAACGGTCGGCGCTCGAAAAGAGCAAAATATCCATTCGACTCCGCACATATTACGTGCATTCTTCCACATTTTCCGGCTTTTTGCATATTGTATAATTCCTGGAAAGAGCTGGCATACCTGTTTCAAAACTATGCGAATCGAAAAACAAGGCTGAAAAAAATGGTGGAAAAAAACGATGTGCTGAGAAATAATAATGAGATACACTCTATAAAAAGCGAAATATACTTTTAGAACGCGCACCGCGATATAATTATGTACAGAGATACAATCAGAGATCTCTGCAGTATCATGTCTTGCGACATCAATTTCTATTGAGTGTATAATGATTATTTATGATCAAAGAAATAATCACACTAGACGACGATGATTGATTATATTATTGAAGAAATATAGAAATGTGCGTTTCCTTGCGAAGGAATGACGAGACATGTGAACCGTGTAAGATTGATATTGAATAATTTTTTATACGATGTACAGTTCTTGCCCTGATAAAATTGTAAAGAATAAAATGATGCGTATAATCACGAATTTCCAATTTCCAAAATTTTTTATATCCATTATTGATAAATGAAGCAGTTCATTCACTGCGGTAGCGTCATGATATTGGATAACGATGCGACACAATGCGGAACTATACAGAGTGTCCCAGATCAACCGTATCACCCATTAATAGCAGATTCCTGAGATTGCGTGGAGATAAAAATCTTTATACCAAAAGGTCGAGGCTACAATAGTTTTTAAGTGAAAAATGTTTAAAGTTGATCAATTAAATTGTACAAAATTCACGCAAGTCACGTATTAGTCGATATTTTTGAGAAACTATATGAGAAACCTCAGAAATCTGCTATTAACGGGTGATATGGTGAATCCGACAATTTGCATATTTTACATTAATCTACTTTTTAATGATATTAACCAATTTGACTTACGATTTTTGTATTCGCGTCGCGAACGCGTGTGAATGTCTTGCAGAACTGCAAAAGAAGGATTGAGAGAAGGAGACTCGGAAAGACATCGAGCGCCAGCGGAGCAACTTTAGGGTAAGTAATTATTTATTTGATATCTGTTATTTGCAAAGTATTGCACGTAAAATATTATGTAATGTAGTGCACGTAGAAACTTTGAAACATTCAGTAAAAGATTTGCAATTTTTAATATTTATGGTTATTAGATATAATTCTCTTATTACATATTAATACAAAAAAGATGAGTAAAAGTTCAATATTCGTAATAATTATTTGTCAAATAATTATTTTAAACGCTGCTATAATTTTTGGATGTACTTTGTATGTTATAAATCAACTTGTGAACAACTCCGCTGTTGCATATCGTGCCGTCCAATAAGTCAATCCAATTTGTTTTATTTTAATATCATTAAGAGAAATAGATTTAGAATGTAACAGACGAGTTTGACAAATTAGATAATGTATTTTTGAAAGCTTTCGAAAATAATTAGTCGAGTATCATCTTCCTTCGTACTTTTAAATTTGTACCATTAAATGTTTCAATAAATGCTACTACGAAATCGATAATGAAAAATAAAATAATTGTTCCCAAAACTTAATTTTTCAAAGCTCGTTTTTAACTGCTCATAATTGGATAATTCTTACTTTGTTGTAACGTGCTTGTTGAGAAAAGATAATTGCAAATTTCCATAAGAAAATTGCCTTACATATAAAGTAACAATATTATTTATCTTGTATAAATAAATAAAGATGCTGCAAGTGTTAATGAATGTTAACAAATTTATTCCCATCTATTGTCCATCTAATCTAATGTTCGTTCCTAATTTTACATTTTTACAACAAGATTTTTGAGCGTTAAAGTGATTGGTGAAACTCGTTAAGCGAAACACGACTTTATAAAATCAGTTATAATCTTATGAATATCGATATTCGCTGCTCTCGATGAATAGTAACGATTTGTCTCGTCCGATTTTCAACGGTTTAAATCGACGTTAATCGATTGCTCGTGTGCGACGAGTTGCGCAATAAATTCTACTCTCGGTTGGCACTTCGCTTCTTCACTTATTCATCATTAAATGTGACTCTAAAAATATTAACACACGCGCGCGCGTTTGCTCGATTTCGTTGAATAAACGTGTCGAGCCGGTTCTTATCCGTGTTAACGAAGATTTTACTCTTATTCCGCGAAACTGCAATCTACCTGCCGTCGTTTTGTTTTCGTAATTTTCTCATCAAAGCTAGTCATTTTTGTTGAGAGTGAAGAAATGTTTCATCACGATATTCCGAGGCAAATTGTTTAATAGACTAGAAAGAATGTGTCTCGCGATTACCGCATTTTCTTTGCGGCTGTTTTCTTTTTTTATATCTTATTCTTTCCTCCACGAAATTCTTGACTGACGGTTTTCTTTAGCTTGACATTTAACAATTAATAAAAAGACTCGGAAAATCATAAATCTTTCTTTGTTTTACATGTTTCTAATAATAAATTTGCTCTCACACACACAATATATATATTATTATACATAAGTTATCGACAGTAACACATTGGCATTCGTATCAGTTTTATTTGGATTGAAAATTGGCTTCCTTCTAGTTAACTTCGTTTGAAATAATTGTAAGCTTATTGAAGAGCTTCTATCATGCATTATTATACGCTTCACGTTTTGAATAAAGGATCTTTCTTTTTTCTATCCAGATTATTTGATTCTACTCAAAGTTTAATCGAAGCTATTGAGTTTAAAATTCATGTTAAATAAATCAATATCCTTTACCGATACTCTGCGCTCCATTTTCCAAGTCGAAACTAACTGACGCAAAGCTATCGTAAAAGGCTTTGAGTATCTTTTGCTGTGTTTAACCTTTTTCTTTAGGATAAGAGGATTTAGGACAAAGGTTGCTTTCAGGTAAGTTCAAGTAAATTATAAGGTAAATCTATTTTTATATCTTAAATATTGTTTGAGTTAAAAAAGTGTGAACATAGAATTAGTCGATTACAAATATCAATACTAAATCTAGGTATAAAAAATATATATATCATTATTAAAAGTTTATCAAAGTAAGTTACGTGCAAAATTAGATAAGTTTGAGATTTTGCTATTCATACATTTCTGAAGTCTAATATCCGGAAAGTCGTATCTTCTATAATTAATATTTAAATTATATTTAATAATTCATCAGAATAATTTTTAAATTATTATCTAGACTATTTCTATTAAAAAAAAAATTAAAATTGCAGATAAAAAATATGACGAATCGAGACAAATATATATCCAGATAAAAAACAGATATAAATATTTCTCCGAATTAAATTATCAAAAGAAATCTTCGAGCGGACTTTAGATCTCTCTTTATCACTTCCTGCCAGAAAAATATTAAAGATAGCTTAAATCAACTAGAACAGCTATTATTATGTTCCTATTGGAAAACATTCCGTACTAGAATTCCGTCTTGTTAAAATTTTCCTATTACAGACATTCAAATTAATTCTGAAACATTCAAAATGATTTCGACATTTTCGTGAAAAGTGAAAAATCCATTCCGATTAAAATAAAATTCATTTTGAAGTAAAAACATCAAGATTACTTTGATCTTTTTTCATCATGAATTGAAAAGAATTTTATATCACAACGCCTTAATTAAGTTGTTCCGATGATAAATACCAAATATGTATTTTTATACTGCAATTATAGAGATTATCTTACATTTTTATTTATTGTAACTGAAATGCAATTCCATTCCGGTTCAGATGAGATTCATAACAGCTTAAAAACATGAATGGAATCGCGATCGAAAACGCTATTCTCCAACCGGAATCGCAAGTAGTACGATAGCTGCCCTAAACTCTCGACGAAACTACACCGGTTTCAATTCCGTGTATTCCGAATTCCCCTTATCAACGTTTGGAGTAATATCGATCGACCACGCCGTACCGGACTGTAACACTCGCCCACACAGCATATAACGTGACACGGACATCCCGATCCACTCGCGCCTCGTAAACGTATGTGACCAAACGGCACTTCCGCGTGGGGAGATCGACTCTTCCATTTCCCGATTGACCTATAGAGCGTGCCGATCGAACGAGCCGACACGTCGCTGTCAAAACTGCAGCGCATGTCGACTACCTCATCGATAGGTCAGGTGTGCACGATAAACCGAGGCTCGCGGATTCGCGTCCCGCATTTAGCGTTAAATGTGGCGCGTAGCTCCGGTTAGCGACGCTCGATTCCGATACACGGATCAACAATAGAACAATCAGCCCGGAGTCGCACAGTCGCCGTTTATAAATTCGCGTTCTTATTCTACATTTAAACATCGAGGGTGAATCGAAGTCTCTCGGATCTTGCAATTTGAATGTAACATAAAAAAAGCGTACCGTCACACATTATCGACCTTCGAGATACACCCGTGTGTTTAACCGTCTATATTTGAAACATATTTAATGTTAAATAAAGTGTGTCTGGTCTTCGGTTTTATCTGTACTTAATATATAGCACGACAATCGCGTGCTCGGTGTCATCATCCGCTGAGAGTCGCACGGCCGCATTTAGAGCTCCGTAATCACTTTCCGTGTTTAACATTAGACGCGATTCAACCGACGGCTTCCCCGAGATTCATTTACGACGCGCAACATCTATTTTATTCCGCTTTATTCGCGAAATTATTCGCCAGCATTTTTAGAAGCGTATTTTCGTACTATTTTCAGCGATTTATTCCGAAGTTCATCGCAAACGTTTATTTGTCTCAATTGTACTTTTCGCATATAAAACAAACTTCTCTTATATTTTCAGGAGCGATACATCCGTCGCTGAAATAGAATTATACGGCCATCTGCGCTACACGCGGCACACGAGTATTTTGATAAAAGGGATTGGCCGAAACATCATTCAGCGGAGTATCGATAAGAATGTCGAAAATAATGAAACAAAAATACACAATAAGGGTAAGAGCAGAGAAAGAGGCAGCGGGAAGGAGGGAGAAAAGGAGAGTGCAGCGTGCGTATCGTCGCCGAATCGATCGGTAGGACGTGGGCACGCGGCCGGCTGAAAAGGGCTGAAGGTTTGTTGTCGTTCGATTACTCACATAGTGCAGTCGTCGCGCGGCTCGCCCGGCACGATGAACTATTCCGGGCGCAGCTTCTGTTTCGGAATCTCCGGGGAGATTCTGTTCCGGTGGCAGATCGGCGGTCGTCATCCAGCGCGCGGCGAAAGATGCCGATGACAGGTGACGTTGCGTCGGCCACATGCACAAACACACCACTCGCTCTCGCGATGAGAAATGCGGTAAAAATTCATTCACGAAGACGGAGCGCGATGAGAGCACGCGTGTGCTCGCATGGTCGTCATTCGTTCGCACCGGCACACGAGCCACAACCGTATGAATCCCTCGAAGCGCGCCCGCGAACTCACCCCTCAACGCCCATTCTGTCTCTCTTTTCCTCAATGCCTCGCGAGTGAGGTGGGGAAGTGGACTGATGCCAGAATGTAGACGCACAAAATGGAGAACTTGCGTCGTGCGTTGCGCAGAACGCTCTGTACCGAGCGTGAAATAATGCATATCCTGCCATCTGGGAAATCTATGTCAAATTAAAGTCGGTATGTTATCGACTGCCGGTTAATCACGAATTCCATGATAATTTTTTTTTAACTGATGATTTATCGTAGGAGATTTTTACGTCGAGTTATCGCCTGTCGAGTAAAAGCGCATTAGCTAGCGAATTCTTATCTGTTTACCTGCAGTACTGATTCAAACTATAACCTATAACATACGAGTTTATTAGACAAACGTCGTGCGGTCTTATTGAATAATAATAAATAACTGAATCAATTAAAATGCTTGGAATCGAAAATCGCGTAATTGCAAGAATTATTTCAAGAAATGGAGAAAAAATTCAAAGTCGGAGCAAAATGCAGGTGAGAATATGTAACGTAAATATATGATTTATGACGTCCGATATATTGTGTATGTTACGCTACATTAGCTATTGTATTAATAAAAATAGCATCAAAGAATTCTTGGAGAAAAATAAGTGCAGTAATCTTTCAAGTTCAATTGCATGTAAAGAAATGATTTGTAATTCCACGCGAGAAGAAAATCATATCGAAAGCCTGTGTTTAGCGTAATCTTTTATGTCCGTCTGTGAAGTTGTACATCTCGCATCGTCACGATATCATAACTTCGTTCAATCAGAACCCCGAGACAACTGTCAATTATTCATTCGCCAGGCTCAATCATCGATATTTCAATCCGCAAAATTGCTGGTATAGCGCTGAAAACTTTCTCCGTAGTAAAAGTTTATTTTAGGTATAATCACAAGATGCACGCTGTCTACGCTCGCATCGCGCAGATGCAAAAATCCTATAGACTTCTCGCAAATCCCATCACATCGGCGCTCACTTATGTTCGCAAGCTAGCCGTTTCAATTATCTCCGAAAGTGAAAAAAAGAGGCTCGCGATTCTACCGTACTTTGCCGCAACCCGATCGTTTCGACGCAGTCGAGATCGAAATTCGTATCGGTTCAATTTTCATCCGTCGTCGATTTTTAACTCTTAATTAGAATGGCATCGGGCAAATCGTTCGCGAGTGTTATCGGCGTGAATATCGCGCTGCTGAGATTCTCCGGCGTGGTGTCGCGTAAGAACGAAAGCATTCGCCGATTGAGCGCACAGAACGCTCTCAGCGCGCTCGCCTACGGCTGCCTATTCGCGTACACGATTTTGTATATTTACGAATTCGCGTTGTACACAGCTTACTTAGACACCTGGATGGAGTCGTTTGCGATGATACTGTCGATGGTAGGCGGACAGGCGCGATTCACATTCGTTCTTTTTTTCCGAGACAGATTTCAGCGATTGCTGATGATATGCGAGGAACTTTGGGCGGCGTTGAGCGCGGCCGAGAAAAAGTACGTGTGCGATTACGTGAAAGCGACGAAACGTCTGACTTATTACTATCTGTTCGGATGTGTTTTCACAATCTTCTTCTACGCCGTCGCTAGTCTTTTCATGGGCCAGCGTGACGATTCGTCGAACGCGACGGCGAGATCCTTACCGTACGCGTGTCCCGTCGAGATCTCACGGTCGCCTTATTATGAGATAATGTACGCTATGCAATTGTGCAGTATGATAAACGTCGCGCTCACCTGTATCGCCGCGGACACGATCGGACCGGTGCTGATCCTAACCGTTTGCGGCCATTTCAAAGTCCTGAATACGCGAATTTTGAGCCTGAGCGATCGCGCGTATTCGAAAGAGTCGCGTTCCTCCGCGGAGTCTCTCGAAATAACGTTCGAGGAAAATAATAAGCGAAACGATGTGAAGTACGATCTCGCAATCTACATACACTATCATCAAATGGTGCTCCAGTACGTACACACAGAAAAATATCATTCTATTGCTAAGAAAAGTAATTACTCGGCTTACTTTTCTTTTTTTAAGTAACAATTATCTTTAATAAAGAATATTTTCTTGATAATAGTCTTAAAATATACTCATCACAAATTTTTGATAAACTCATTATCATATACTCAAAAGAAGTAGTTATTTTTTGGTGAAGAATATTATAAAATTGTATCGAAGAAAAGTCAGATTTGGTTAATTTAATAAGCAAATAGAATTCTTTTTCTAATTTAATATTCTTGATTAAAGTATTAAACTTACTGAGATCAAAATATATTTTTGAATAAATTTGATGCTTATGATGAACTTACGATTGATTTGCGTATATATGAACTTATAAAATACTTAAAACAAGTA